ATCTTCTGTGTATGGCAAGGCATTTATCCCAGCACCATTTATTGAATGAAGGTCTGTTCACCATTGCTTGTTTTGTCAGCTTTGTCAAAGATCAGATGGTTGTAGGTGTGTGGCATTATTTCTGAGCTGTCTTCTGTTCCATTGGTCTATGTGTCTGTTTTTGCACTAGTACCATACTGTTTTGGTTACTGTAGCCCTGTAGTATAGTTTGAAGTCGGGTAGTGTGATACCTCTGGCTTTGTTCTTTTTGCTTAAGACTGTCTTGGCTACTTGGGCTCTCTTTTGGTTTTTTATGAATTTTACAATAGTTTTTTCTAATTCTGTGAAGAATGTCATTACTAGTTTGATAGGAATAGCATTGAACCTGTAAATTTATTTGGGCAATATAGCCGTTTTAATGATATCCTATCCATGAGCATGGAATATTTTTCCATTTGTTCGTATCATCTCTGATTTTGTTGAACGGTGTTTTGTAATTCTTGTTGTAGAGATCTTTTACCTCCCTGGTTAGCTGTAATTCCTAGATATTTTAGAATTTTAATTCTTTTCTTTTCTTTCTTTCTTTTTTCTTTTTTTTTTTTTTTTTTTTTTTTTTGAGACAGGCTCTGGCTGGAGTGCAGTGGTGCAATCTAGGCTCACTGCAGCGTCTGACTCACTGCAGCCTCCGCCTCCCAGGTTCAAGCAATCCTCCCACATCAGCTTCCCGAATAGCTGGGACTACAGGCATGCACCCCATGCCTGGCTAATTTTCATACAGTTTTGTAGAGACAGGGTTTCATCTTGTTGCCCAGGCTGGTCTCGAACTCCTAGGCTCAAGTGATCCACCTGCCTCAGCCTCCCAAAGTGCTGAGATTACAGGCATGAGCCACTGTACCCAGCCAAATTTTAATTCTTTTTATGGCTGAATAATATTCCATTATATGGACATGCTACTTTTGTTTATCCACTTATCAGTTAATGGGCATTTGGGTTGTTTCTACCTTTTGGCTATTGTGAATAATACTACTAAGAATATGACAGTATTTTTAGTTCCGATTTTCAATTTTGAGTTCCTATTTTCAGTTGTTTTGGATAAACACCTAGGAGTGGAATTGCTTACTCTTGTGTGTATTTCTTCGTTTAACTTTTTGAGGAACCACCCAACTGTTTTCTGCAACAGCTGCACCATTTTACATTCTCATCAGCAATGTACAACAGTTGCAATTTTCTACATCTTTGCCAACACTTATTTTCTAGTTTAAAAAATGTTTTAGGCTTGGCGCAATGACTCATACCTATAATCCCAGCACTTTGGGAGGCTGAGGCAGGTGGATCACTTGAGTCTAGGAGTTCAAGACCAACCTGGGCAACATGGAGAAACCCCATCTTTACAAAAAATTCAAAATATCCAAGCATGGTAGTGCATACTTGTAGTTCCAGAGACCTGGGAGTCTGAGGTGGCAAGATCACCCTCCTGAGCCCAGGAGGTCAAGGCTGCAATGAGCTGTGATCACGCCACTGCACTCCAGCCTGAAAGCAAAAACAAAAACAAGTTTTTAAAAATTTAAAACCATTCTTAAAAACAAAAACACAAAACAACAGCAGAAAATTATAACCATCCTAATAGGTATAAAGTGGTATCTTGTGATTTTGATTTGCATCTCCTTTGTGATTAATGATGAGCATATTTTAATGTGTTTATTGGCCATTATAATGTCTTATTTAAAGAAATATCTATTCATGTCACGTGCTTATCTTTTATTTGGTTTGCTTGTCTTTTTTTTTTTTTTTTTTTTTTTTTTTTGAGACGGAGTTTCACTCTTGTTACCCAGGCTGGAGTGCAATGGCGAGCTCGGCTCACTGCAGCCTCCGACTCCTGGGTTCAGGCAATTCTCCTGCCTCAGCCTCCTGAGTAGCTGGGATTACAGGCACGCGTCACCATGCCCAGCTAATTTTTTGTATTTTTTTAGTAGAGACGGGGTTTTACCGTGTTGACCAGGATGGTCTCGATCTCTCGACCTCGTGATCCACCCGCCTCGGCCTCCCAAAGTGCTGGGATTACAGGCTTGAGCCACCGTGCCCGGCCTGGTTTGCTTGTCTTTTTTCTTGTTGAATTGTAAGGGTTCTTCATGTATTAGAGATATTAACTCATCAGATAGATGATTTCCAATAATTTCTCCTATTCCTAAGGTTGTCTTTTCGTTTTCTTGATAGGGTCTTTAGATGCACAAAAGTTTTTATTTTGACGAAGCTCAATTTATCTACTTTTACTTTTTTTGAGACAAAGTCTCGATCTGTTGCCCAGGCTGGAGTGCAGTGTCGTGATCTTGGCTCACTGCAACTTCTGCCTCCTAGGTTCAAGCAATTCTCTTGCCTTAGCCTCCTGAGTAGCTGGGATTACAGGCACCCACCACCACACCTGGCTAATTTTTGTATTTTTAGTAGAGACAGGGTTTCACCATGTTGAACAGGCTGGTATAGAACACCTGACCTCAAGTGACCCACCTGCCTTGGCCTCCCAAAGTGCTGGGATTACAGGCACTAGCCACCACTCCTGGCCAATTTTATTTAATTTTTCTTTTGTTATTTGTGGTTTTTATGTCATAGCTAAGAAACCATTGCCAAATCCAAGGTCATGTAGCCTTTACCTCTATGTTTTAGAATGGGGGTTCACTTTCTTGCCCAGCCCAGAGCGAAGTGGCTATTTACAGGTATGATCAAAGCTAACTGCTCAAATCCTGGATTCAAGTGATTCCCCCCGCCTCAGCCTCTTTACAAAAACCCCGTCTTTACAAAAAAATACATGCACTGCCACCTGGGTCTACTTTATATTTTTTAGTTATTTTCTTAGTGATTGTCCTGGGGATTACAGTTAACATTATAATTTATAACAATCAAGTTTGAATTTATACCAGGTTAGTTTCAATAGCATACAAAACTTTGTTCCTACATTGCTTCATCCCTCCTTCATGTTGCATTGCTGCAAACTACATCTTCATCCATTTTGTGCTGATTAACGTATATTTGTAACTATTGTTTATGCACTTTTAAATCATACAGAAAAGGGCTTTATAAAGCAAAAATGCCATAATGCTGGCTTTTGTAGTTATAATACCTTTACTGATGTTCTTTCTTCATATGGCTTCAAGTTACTGAATGTTGTCCTTTCATGTCAGCCTGAAGGACTCCTTTTAGCAGTTTCTGTAGGGCTGATCTACTAGTGACAAATTTCTGCAGTTTTTGTTAATCTGGGAGTGTCTAATTTCTACTCCATTGCTGAATATAGTTTTGCCAGATAAAATTTTTTTGGCCAGGCTTGCTGGCTCATGCCTGTAATCCCAGCAATTTGGGAGGCTGAGGCGGGAGGATTGTTGTGAACTCAGGAGTTCGAGACCAGCCTGGGCAACATGGCAAAACCCCATCTTTACAAAAAATACAAAAATTAGCCCAGCATTGGTGGCTTGTGCCTATAGTCCCTTCTACTTGGGAGGCTGAGGCTGGAGTCACTTGCACCTGGGAAGGTGTGGGTGCAGTGAGTTGAGATCGCCCCACTGCACTCCAGCCTGTACTCCCTTGTCTCAAAAGAAAGAAATTTTTTTGTTGTTGACACTTTTTTTCTTTCAGTACTTTAAATATGTAATCCACTACCTGTGGCTTTCACAGTTTCTAATGACGAATCAATTGTTAATGTTATTTAGAATTTCTGGTAAATAATGAGTTGCCCCTCTTCTGCTGCTTTCAAGATTCTTTGGCCTTTGATAGCTTGGTTATAATGTGTCTCAGTGTATAATACTTCAAGTTTGTTGAGTTTCTTGGATGTAAGAAGTCATGTCTTTCATTACCTTTGAGAAGTTTTGGCCATTATTTCTTCAGATGCTCTCTCTGCCCCTTTCTCTTTCTCCTCCTCTTTTAAAACTCTTTTATTTATTTATTTATTTTTGAGACAGCGTCACTCTGTCACCCAGGCTGGATGCAGTGGTGTGATCTCAGCTCACTGCAACCTCTGCCCCTCAGGTTCAAGCAATTGTCATGCCTTAGCCTTCTGAGTAGCTGGGATTACAGGCATGTGCCAACACACCCACCTAACTTTTGTATTTTGTATTTTTAAAATTGTATTTGTTTATTCATTTATTGTGAGATGAAGTCTCATTCTGTTCTGGAGTGCAGTGGCACAACCCTGGCTCATTGCAACCTCCGCCTCCCAGGTTTAAGCAATTCTCTCAGCCTCCTGAGTAGTTGGGATTACAGGCATGTGCCACCATACCAGGATAATTTTTGTATTTTTTGTAGAGACAGGGTTTCGCCACGTTGGCCAGGCTGGTTTCGAACTCCTGACCTCAGGTGATCCTCCCGCCTCAGCCTCCCAAAGTGCTGGGATTACAGGCATGAGCCATTGCAGCTGGCCCAATTCCCTGGGATACATGTGTTTTAATTCATTTTCTCTTGCTAGTAACAGAATACCTGAAACTGGGTAATTTATAAAGAAAAGAAAGTTATTTCTTACAGTGATGGAGGCTGAGAAGTCCAACTTCAAGGGACTACATCTGGTTAGAGCCTTCATTTTGATGAAGGCCTTTGTGCTGATGGGACTTTCTTCAGAGTTCCAAGGTGGTACCGGTCATGACATGGCGAGGTTGCTGAGCATGCTACTCAGGTGTCTCTTCCTCTTCTTTTAAAGCTACCAGCCCCACTCCTGTGATAGTGATTCTTTAATTCATCAACTCATTAATTCATTAATCCATGAATAGATTAACCCATGAGGCCCCTGCCCTCAGGGCCCGATCAGCTCTTAAAGGCCTGACCTGTCAATATTGCTATAGTGGGGACTCAGTTTCAACATGAGTTCTGAAAGCAACAAACATTCAATCCATAGCAACATGAGAGCTTTTCAAAACCCTTCTTTGCTGAAGTATGTCCTTCTCCAGCCTCCTCCTTCCCAGGCTTTTTGGTTTTTCTATTGCTTACATAACTCTTACCCTTTGCCACAGGTGGCAATAATTAATACTTTTGCCTTTAAATAGGTTTGAGAAACGTCACCCTGGAAGTAGCCTCAACTCTGAGGAAACTCAAAGGCAAGTAAAATACAGGTAAGCCCTTGAGCAGATCCTTCAGGTAGCTACCATATGGGTCAAAACACAGAACAATTATTTGAAAATAAGGTCTGTACTGGTCCCTCTGTTAACAGCAATCTGCAGCAGAAAAATGGGCTTCAGTATTCAAGTCTGCGGCTGAGTTGGGGAGCTGGGGACGGTAACCAGGTAGGTTAAAATTCACAAAGCTTTCTTACCGAAAGGCAGCTTTCTTTCATCATTAAGCTCTCCCCTGGTTGTTGTTTTTTGATGAGGTTCTAAAGTTCTGAAAAAGTTCATTGTGATAATTTTTGCAAGCTTATTCGTTGCTTCTGTGGAGACATAACATTTTGGAGCTCTCTACTCTGTGATTTTCAATGATATCTGTCCAAAGGAGAGAGTGGGAGAGATGGATCTTCCATCACTCAATAAAAGGGCAGCCTTAGTCCAGATCCCATTAGCTTTGGCTGGGAGTCTAAGTTACATACCCTGTAACACAGAAATTTCACTAATATATACCTACAACAACTTTTGCGCTTGTGCATAAAAGAAATTAATAAAGGCATTCATAGCAAGAGTGAAACTTTGTATTCTACCCTCTTTCCTGGAAGCATTGGATGCAAAGTTCTACATCTCTGGCCCACTGCTGAAGTCACCTAGAATTTTAATTATATGGATAGTTCTTTGGCAGAGTGCTTAAGAACAAATTTTAAAAAAAAGGGTTTCAAAAAACTGCTCTTTTTTTGTTTTTTTGTTTTTTTTTTTTTTTTGAGACTAAGCCTTGCTCTGTCAGCCAGGCTAGAGTGCGGTGACATGATCTCTGCTTACTGAAAACTCCACCTTCCAGGTTCAAGCGATTCTCCTTCCTCACCCTCCTGAGTAGCTGGGATTACAGGTGCCTGCCATCATGCCTGGCTAATTTTTGTATTTTTAGTAGAGATGGGGTTTCACCATGTCGGCCAGGCTGGTCTTGAACTCCTGACCTCAGGTGATCCCCCTGCCTCAGCCTCCCAAAGTGCTGGGATTGCAGGCATGAGCCACCACACCCGGCCTCATTCTTTATTTATTCTGGATAACTTTAACATATCATCTGACTGACAAGCTACCACTAATAAAATATAAACTGAAAGTAGATTTTTTTCTTCCTTGTCTAGACTATTTAATTTTGTTCTCCTTTGCCATTGTCTAGTTCCAAAAAAAAGCAGCTTAGTGTGAAATTTGTGGGAAAGATGCTGTTCAGAGTTTAATTTCATTATTTAGTTAACCAATGAAAATCCAGCAGAAAAAAAAGGTAAATAATTTTAGGAGATGGTAAAAACTATTTGAAAAATGGGAATTTCATTGACATAATTTTTTGGAAATAGAACATTCAGTCATTAGAGTTGAAAGCTGAATAAATGAATACACGATCGAATGAATGGTTGATTCAAAGCATCATTAATTAATTGGAAATAATTGACTGTGACACTTGGTCCTAAAAATATTCCTCTAAGAAATCATTGACGTTATCTGGGAAACTTTAAAAAGTGATACCCAAAGCCCAGTTACATTGAATCAGAATCTCTAAAGGAAGGCCTTAGCCATTAGTGGTTCTGTTTTTTGTTTTATCTTTTCCAAGATGGAGTTTTGCTCTTGTTGCCCAGGCTGGAGTGCAATGGTGCGATCTCGGCTCACTGCAACCTCCACCTCCTGGGTTCAAGAGATTCTCCTGCCTCAGCCTCCCAAATAGCTGGGATTACAGGTGTATGCCACCATACCTGGCTAATTTTTGTATTTGTTGTCAAGATGAGTTTTCACCATGTTGCCCAGCCAGGTCTTGAACTCCTGAGCTCTGCCTCCTGCCTCTGCCTTCCAAAGTGTGGAGATTATAGGCATGAGCCACCACATATGGCCCTTTTAGACCTCTTTTAATCTTTGGGTTTCTTCAAAATCATTTGCATTCTTTACAATTTATTTTTGGGGTAAACCAGTTGGTACTATAGGGCTTCCCACAGTTTGGATTTTGCTGATCATAACTTTATGGTGTTATTTAACATGTTCCTCTGTCCCCTCTATTTCCCATAGATTGTTCATCTGGTAAAGATATAATAAACTTATTAAATGTTAGTTACAGCCCATTGTGTTATTCCTCCTTGGTAGGGGGTAAGAATGATGCTGCCTTCAGAAAGGGGTCTGCATGTTGAGGTTGCCCAGGTCTGAGTGCAACCTCAGATACACAATGGAAGCTGAGGTCATCATTGTGGGGCAGACTAGTGTGGAAAATGGAATGGAAGCTGCTCTTTGCCTCACCCCCTCACAGCCTCTGTCTCTGACACCCGCCTCTCTGAGTGGTGTGCAATATGTCTCTTCTCTGGACTCCATCTCCTTTAGTCCAATCACACTGGAGACATTGCTGGAGGCATTTTTGGCACATGGGAGAATGAAAGAACCAACTAATTTGTGAGAATCTTTCCACTTATCCATTAAGACCCAATTCAAATCTTTCATTTTGGGGTGGGGGCAATGGTCCTGTTCCCCCATACCCACTCCCATCTGGAAGCACAGCTGATCACTCTCTCCTCGGTAGAACAGTATGCCTCACATATACCCCTGTTATGCATTTTGTTACATGTCATTTCAATTATGTATCTCTCTACATAATTGTTTCAACTCTAAGACGCACAAGTTCCTTGAGGTTGAGAAACAGGTCTTTATTTTTTAACCCCAGGGCCATGGTTGTACCATGCAAGTTCCTGGCAGGAAACAGATGGTGCCCTCAAAATGGGTAACCAAGGGCAATTTAACAAAGGGATGTTATAGACCATGTGAGGTGCTCATGCCTATAATCCCAGCACTTTGGGAGGTAGAGAAAGGAGGACCGCTTGAGCCCAGGAGTTCGAGGCTGCAGTGAGCTGTGATCAAGCCACTGCACTCCAGCCTGGGTGACTGAGTGAGATCCTGTCTCAGAAAAAGAACAACAGAAAACCCCAAAGGTACTATTACAAAGGTGTAGGCAGGGTTCCATGAAAGCAACAAGGAATGGTGTGGTATACCCAAGTTAATAACAGGGCTTGGTGGAGGGGCAAAGGGAGAGAATAGTTCCCAAAACCCAGGGAAAAGCTTTTAGTAGAGGGCACAGCCAATCCATGGTGAGCCAGCATGGGAAGAATTGGAAATAGTGACCCCAACTTCATTTTTCTTCACCCTTTGATCTCCTGCCCACGTCTTCTATTGGCTGAATCTAACCAGAACCCAGAGGGCAAGAGAGCCCATTGCTGCAGTCCATACAGGTCTGCCTCCCTGGTCTGAAGAGAGCTAGATGGGGCAAATGGAAGGTATCCAGTACGGGATCCCCTCAAGCATCCACCCTTATCCTTTTGCCAGGTGAAATATTTATGTTCCCAGCAGAGGGCACCCACAAAATTCCTATCAACTGCTGTATCATTGCATGGTGATTTCAATTCAGTCAAAGTCTAACCTCGAGTCTAAAATGGTAGCCATTGCCAATGCCCATCATTGGAGGTATGAAGGAGGGGGAGATTCAAGGAGACGTGGGGGGGGCAATTAAAACAATTACAATGAAACGTAACTGCTGTTGAGCACATTTCTGGAACAAGTCATGAAGCCCACGCTGATAATCATAGCTTCCTTCTTCCACCACCCATTACCTCCTGCGGGCTGAGTGGGGTTTGTTACTTGGCCTACCTTCACCTGTGATCTCAGTCCTCAGTGAACCTACCTCTCTGGGTTGTACCACTTTCCACAGACTACTAGAATAAGAGATGCCTCAGTGAATCTCTCGGAGGAGTCTCTCTGGTTGGGTAGCAGCAAAGGAATTTCCTTCTAGTCAGTGGGACCAGCCAATACAGCAACTGCTTTCCCTGCCTTTTGGTTTAGCAGCATGAGGAGCCCCAGATGGCTGAGGGTCACACTCAGTTTCAACTTCCAATGGAATGGAACTTTGTGTTCCTTGATGAATTTTCTTCCAGGTCAGCCACTGAGCCCGAGGTCAGACTAAAAGCAAGAATTCTTTCCATGGCGAATTAGTGTAATAGTGAGAAGGACCGCTCCTGCCTCCACCCCACATTTCCCAGGCTGATGAAATCTGATTATGGGGGAGGTGGCACCACTGGTCTCTGCTGGTTTGAGTCAGTTACTGCATCTTGTAGGAAAGCATCCCACCCCACCAGTCATTACCTCTCAGCTGTCACTGTGTCTATGTTTTCAGCAGGCCATTCTGCCATCCAATTAATCCATATTTTTCAGGAGAATGAATCGTGATAAAACCAATGAACTCCATGGCCATGAGCCTGCTTTCACGTTGTCACCTCTGAAAAATGTGTCCCTGCTGGGAGATGTTTTGACACCATTTAGTATATAGAAGATATTCTTTAAGTCCATGAACTTTGGTGCTGGCCGAGATACTGGGCACAGGAAAGGCAAATCCATACTTGGAGCAAACATTTTTCTCTGTGAGGCTAATTGTGCCTCCTACCTGATGAAAAGGATCCAAAATTATCTACCTACAATCAGCTGTCTTTGCTTGGTCCCCTGAAGGAATAGTACCATTTTAGGGTCTCAGTGTTAATCTGCTGTGGCCAATTGGACATTGAGCTCTGACAGAGGCCAGATCAGTCCTGGTGAGAGAGAGTGTGCTGCTGAGCCCATGCGTAGCGTCCATCCCTACCATATGTGTGCTTTGTTCATGGGCCAATCAAGTAAGCACATGGGAAGTGAGGAAAAGAGATCAATAGATATCCACAGATTGGATCATTTTGACCACATGATTATCGTTAGAAACAGAATTGTGGTCGCCAAATTCACATAGGGAAGTCCCAATTCCCCATGTGACTATATTTGGAGATGGGAGATAATTGAGATTAAATGAGATCATAAGGGTGAGGCCTAATCTGATAGGACTAATGTCCTTACAAGAATTGGAAGAGACAGCGAGAGCGCGCCCTCTCTACACACACACAGGAAATGCCACATGGGGACAAGAGAGGGCAATTGTCTACAAATCTGGAAGAGAGGCTGCAGAAGAAACCAACACGGATGGCACCTGATCTTGGACTTCCAGCCTCTAGATCTGTGAGAAAATACATGTCTATTGTTTACACCAACCAGACTGTGGCACTTTGTTAGGGCAGCGCAGTCACCAAGAGAATTAATGAGAGGCTCCTTCACAGTGGATGCTGTGGGGGGGCATTTACATGGTTTAGAAACATCCTCACATTCTGTGCATAGTCCACACACCTCTTCCCCAGTCCTCCATGTCACCAAATACGCAATTTACTCTTTCTCAGATTGCTAACCTGGTGAACCTGTCAATGACTTACCATGGATTAGAGGGTCACTGCTCAGACTCTTCCCTTCCATGCAAATAAACCAGACCTAACACCTGAAGCCCACTGGAAAGATTGTCTTTCACTCCCTCTTTCAGCCTATTCCCGGGTGGTGTATGGCTCAACACCTCATCATTTCTGGCTGGTTCCATCTTACCATGAAGATCCATTAATAAACCTGACCCGCATTTCACCCCCCTCTATTTAGTGGGGTAGGGAACTCCCCATCAGGCCATGGGTATGCCTTGAGAGAGGAACAATGAGGCAGTGGGAAAGGTACCATGGGAGCCTCCACCACCGCGTGCTCCTGAGGTCTCTGTGTGGTTTCCATATCTGCCAGAGCCTGGTCTCATATATACTGATGTGGTACAGGAAATGCCACCTGGAAATATGGCGCCTTGGCATTTGAGGACACAGTAGAAGGAGGTCTAGAAAGGATTTCTCTTTGCTCTTTGTCCCACAAAGGAGCCATAAAACCTGATGTGAGTTTCTTCTGAAAATAAGTTATAAGATCCTTATTCCAGAGGGGTCCTGCCCTGTGCCTGGAGGAAAAGAATGAAGACACAGAGATGCCTTGAAGAATCTGAAGAAACAGGCCTTGCTAAGTTCCCCTCAGTTTATTGACATTAGATTAGACCTTTTGTCCTCCAATTATACCACTGTACGACTGTGGCTGAAAATACACATTTTCCCCTGTTTTTTTTTGGTTCTTCTTCATTTCTGAAAATTCCCATGTCATGTACAATTTATATTAAACAAATTTATATGCTTTCCTCTTTTTTGTTGTTGTTATTTTTGAGATAGAGTTTCACTCTGTTGTCCAGGCTGGAGTGTGGTGGCACGATCTCAGCTCACTGCCGCCCTCCGCCTCCTGGGTTCGAGCAATTCTCCTGCGTCGGCCTCCTGAGTAGGTGGAATTACAGGCACACACCACCATGCCTACATAATTTTTTGTATTTTTAGTAGAGATGGAGTTTCACCATGATGGCCAAGCTTGTTTCAAACTCCTGACCTCAAGTGATCTGCCCACCTCAGCCTCCCAAACTGCTAGGATTACAGGCATGAGCCACCATTCCTGGTCTCTCTTGTTAATC